AATCAATCAATCAATCAATCAATCAATCAATCAATCAATCAATCAACGAAAAAAAAAAAATCGACGAAATTAATCAATCATTCAATCAATCAATCAAAGGCGGAGCGGGGCGACCCCGCCCCCACCAATCAATCAATTTAATTTCGTTCGATTTCGCCCATACCCCCCCATCCAAAAGTTGATCTTTTTTTTTTTTTTTTTTGTGTGGTGAGGTGGGGCCGGGGATGCGACGAGATTTCCGAAAGTGTCTCCCTCGCGGCCGCCACGTGGCTCCAAAGCCGCGCGTCCGCGCAGACGCATCCGCGGGGTCAGAGGACTGGCCGCGTCCGCGGATTCGACCGTGGATGGCCGCCGCCGAGGGGGATTCATACCATCCGCAGGGGCAGGTCGGGCAGGGGCCGGGTGGGGCTTAATTAGCCTGCTCATTATCTGTTCCATCTGCTCCATGTGAGCTGCCTGCATTTGAACCAAGTTGCTCATCCACTCCGATTGCTTGGTGGTGGCCGTATGGATCATTTGTGCAAGATGTAAGTTTGTTACGGCCTGAGAGGGAGAATCGTTGGGAATTCAGTTTTTAACTCCCGCTACATGTGGATTCATTGGAGGCACAAACGACGAAGCTAGCGGGATATCAGGGGCGGTCCCGTCGGGGAGGTCATGGGGATAAAACCGTTTTACCGCCCATAACCACGATCGTCTCTTAGCTGCTACATCCTGTATCCTATTTGTGATGTCTTCGTCTCCCTGACTGATATATTTCTTTGTATCGGCCATGTCTAACTCGAGGGCTTTAATGATGATAGCCGACAACTGGTGAGTTTTAAGAGGAACCTTTTTCTGTAACTTCCCTTTTAGCGTCGGACTTCGTAGATGATCGATGAACAAATCTCGAGCGGATTTCTCATCTCGCCCAGATTTATCCAACGTGGTTTGAAATTGATCCACAAAATCAGGCAGCAATTCCCCTGGTCCTTGCGGACGATTTTTTAGTACGTACCAGGCGGCATCTTCACTGACCGTATCAAATCGAGCCAAGAACGCTTGTTTGAAAGTATTCCAATTTACCCACGTGTGCTTTCTGAACCAGTCATGCGCCGTATTACGAAGCAGCAAGGTAAGAACGCGGGGAAGATCACCTGCACTGTATCCTTGAGCTTCGACGGCTTCCACCCAAGCTTCGGGGTGGGTATGATTAGGGAAGAAGGGGAAGGGGGTGGGAATGCTAACCACTACCCTATTACCGTCCACCATTGGTATACCCAGTATAGCCGCACCAGATATAGATCTGGTCACTGGACGATCTCGGCGAGCGGGTGGGGGACTTCTTCTACCTCTCGCCAGTTCGACTTACTATCAACAAAACCAACACGTGTCGGCTCCGATACCAATCTCACGCCCTGTGCTGTCTTCCGTTCGGAGTGCTAGTGGTGCGGAAGAGGGGCCTAGAAAAACAGCAAAATGGGGTGTGTCAAGGATTTTTGGAAATTGAGTGTGGGGACACATACGGAACTGAAATCCCCCGTGTTGGTCCGATGAAGTAAGTTGACCGTTTTTCGCACGTCTTAAAATGCGCGCGAGGGTTCGGCGCGGAAAGGGGAGAGAGATACAAAGTCAATCCAAAAAGTATTGTCGGACTTCCCACCGTGCTACGGCCCTTCGTTTAGAGCGAAAAGGTTTCGGCACGCTTCGCATGTCTCGTCTTCGTATTAAATCCCGACGTCGTTCACCAATCAGTTTTGAGTCCGACGTGGAGGGCCTCAATCATGTGGCTCTTTCCTTGTGTTCGTCTTCACTCCGTACACGGTAGTGGAAACCCTTGGATTCGTAGCGCTCAAAGCGCTAGCACTCGGTGCATAGAGTGCGAGGCCAGTGGGGTTCTACTGCCGTCCACGGGATGACAATCAACTCGTTAAATGGCAACAGTATTGAGTAAGGTGGAAAGTGTGTATCGATAATGACAAACCCAGCCTCTATGAACCCCGAACAAGGATTTCCCGGAGGGAAGTAATAACGTCCGCCGATCCGTTCGACAGCTTCTCGTATACTCGCATACACGTGTCCTTCCCTCGTCGTAAGGAGAAGGTCGCGTCGATACAGGAGATACGGGAGGTTGACGCCCGACCGAAGGGCGTTTGTCAGTCCACATAACAATCAGTTGCAAAAATCCCGAGACGTCATCAAGGAAAAACACTCGCACAACCACCAATCAATTCTTTTCGATACGAGAGGGAGGGAAAGCACTCATCAGCTTGATCATGCATGTAAATGAGGGACCGACCCGCGACTCAGGTTTAGTAAGCCACCGCGGCGTTGATCCCAGGCGCCTTGTTTCTCGAGGCCGCCCGAAAGATCGGTTGCAGATGTCGTGCAGCATAAGGCAGATGGCATGCGCAGTGCATTCAGAACTACAGATCTGCATCCACCGTTCACAAGACAAGATGATCAATCCCTCGACATCAGGGGATTACCCAAGAAACTAATGGAAGAGTTCCGGAAGAAGTTCCTTCACACAGGAGAGCACATAGATTCATTCCCATTCATGAGAGGGACAAGCATTAAGACACATCGTCATTTAAGGATGGAGGAGAGAGAGAAAGAGAGAGAGAGATGAGGGAGGAATGTCGAGATAGGAGATGACAAGATCCGAAAAGAGGAAGTTCAACGTTGCCGCCGTACACTCACGTCAGAGATAAAGATCCGCAATCAATAAAGGTGTTTCTCTCTCTCTTTCTCTCTCTCGTCCATCCTATGCGGGGGGGGGGAGGAGGAAAGAGCGCGGGAGAGAACGATGCAAGAAACAAAGCGGGAGGGGGGAAAGAGAAGAAAGCTCGTATGCGTGCATCGTCAACAAAAAGAAAAAGAAAAAGGCACCGAAACAGTTACAGTTTGCCTATGTCCTAAGCCAATTCAAAATTGAAATCACCATATCCGTGCGCGAAAAGGACGACGCGGGAAAGGAAAGTCCTACGCCTATTCGTATCCTTACAAAATCCTGAGAGTTTTTCCCAACGCGACCAAGAACATTCACACACAAAAAGGACACGTCGAAGTTCCGCTTATCCCGAAATTCCCAACTGCCGGGCCCAATTCCCAGTGCGCTCGCTAAGGCGCGCGTAAATTCCTATGCATTTCCTGAATTGCAAAAAAAAGCAGAACCGAAGAATCACAAAAGCTTCCGGAATATGGGGGCCAGAAACGCGGCGCCCGAAATCAAGAAATCGAACGGGGTTTGGTAGGATACAAGAAAAATTCAAACCAAAGGGGTACGAAAGATAGCACGGGTT